CACGCCTTTTATCCCAGCACTTGGGAGGCAGAGGCAAGCGAATTTCTGTGAGTTCGAGGCCAGCCTGATCTATAAGAGCTAGTTCCAGGACAGGCTCCAAAGCTACAGAGAAACCCTGCCTTGAAATAAATAAATAAATAAATAAATAAATAAATAAATAAATAAATAAATAAATGACTTCCTAAAAATTAAATCTTCTTAAAATAAGTCTAAAGCTCAATATGGTGTAGTGTGCCTTTAATCCCAGCCCTTGGGAGGCAGAGGCAAAAGGAGTTCAGGGACAGCCTCAACTACAAAGTGAGTACCAGGCCAGGCCAGCCTGCGCTATATAAGACCCTGACTCTAAGATAATATATGCGCGCACGCGCACACACACGTAGTCTATCTTAGTATGCTTTTAAAAGAATATGAAACAACACTTAATGTTTGGTAAAATCAATCATTGCAAAGTCAGCACTTGGTTTACTGGTGTTAACTTGTAAAGAAATGTTTATGCTCAGAACTGTTTCAAAGGAGGAGGAAGACAAAACCCAGAGGAACGGGATGTGTGCTGTGAAACTGTGTCTCCTAGAAATGTCAGAAGCTACACTCATGAAGTCTTATCAACATGGCTACTAAACATGACCTAAACAAGGACAACAGCAACAGACATGCTAATGTGGATAGGGGAAAGCTCACCTAAGAGCCACAGGGATGTTGACAGCAGGAGAAAGAACACAACAAATGGTTATCCAATATCATACGGTCAGCCCTAACACATATACATACAAGTAACATTATGCAGACTGAGCATACACACACGTGCATACACACATGCACACACAAATATAACAAGGAAAGAAACGAGGTCATGATTTGGAAAGAGAACAGTGGATGGGCATACATGGAAGGGTTTGGAGGGAGGAAAGGGAAAATATAATCCTTAAAAAATAAAACAAAAAAAATATTTACAGTCAAAACTAACAGAAGCTGGACATGACTAAGCAGGATATAATCATCGCACTTAAAAGACAGAAGCAAAGTCAAAGCTCAAGGTAAAGAAAGAGCCTGTCTTTAAAAACTAATTACAATTTTTTAAAGTGCAAATTAAGTAAAATGATGTATGGATTAATTTATTGCTTGTTTATTCATTTTTGTGGTGCTAGGGATGGAGGGGCCTTACACAAGTTCTGCCACTAAGCTATAATCCTAGGCCTCTAGTTATCTATGCTTTAAAAAAAATTTAAATTTTATTTAATGTTCTTTTTTGTCCGCTCTCAATAACAAA